GTGTGTGTGTATGTGTACTTGTGTGTTTCTTTGTGTATGTATGCGTATGTGCATATGTGTGTGTGTGTGTTTGTGTGTGTGTATGTGTGTGTGTATATTTGTGTGTGTGTGTGTGTGTGTGTCTGCGTGTGTGTCCATGTATGTTTGTGTGAGTGAGTGTATAGGTGTACACGTGTGTGCACGCAAGCTCCCGCACAAGCGCGGGCAAACGTGAACGTGTGTGTTCTTGTATGTGTGGTTCTGCACTCGTATTATATTATAATAAATCGTAGATTGGGGTACTCCGTACGGGGAGGCAATGAGCGGCGATCAGAGGTAAACATAATAATTGATTCTGTAAAATCCAAAATGAACGTGCATAGCTCTTTTGTTCAAGAAATCTCAATCTGGATGAGCAAATCTATGGCGCACAAAGACAGGACAAGAAGACACAATTCAAAGCACGAAGAGGGGAAGGGGGGGGGGTGCAGTTGTCAAACTTGGTCTTATTATCACTATCAAGCACGTTAAGTGGTAGTAACACAGCGTTTGAGTGAACAAGACACGTGGGTGGTTGGCGGGTGTGGTTTGCTCCTTCTTTCCTATCAAACAGCGGTCGGTCTTTTCTCTCCTCGTTCTTTTTTATGTTTGTTACTCTCTTGCAACACCTCTAATCTTCGGCACTTATATGACGTTATTGTGTTGCAAGTGCTGAAAAAAAATTTACCAAAAATAATTTAAAAAACCCAAAACAAGACACGATGTACCTAGCTCAAGAACAATGCGCTGCACACAGGCAAGCAGCAAGGACGTGTTTGTAAGATTGTCTGTGTTAGTATGATGTTGGGTATACATTATTAATATAAATGGTTTATATAGTTAACGTTTTGAACTTGTTGCTGTAAACCAAATTTTCTCATTAGTATCAATGAAAGTTGCCTACTATTTCATTTTTTAATTTTCATATTCAAGGGAAAAATATATGTTATTAAGGCTCTGTTTTTTTGGGGGGTTTTTTGTTTGTTGAAAAGCACAAACTTCAGCAAATATGACAGCAAAAGTCAATTTTTATCTCGCCCCCTTACTCTTCCTTTTGTCTCGAACAGCTACGAATCAGAAACTCTGCGCTCTGTTGATCTGGAAATTATTGAGGATTGCTTTCAAACAAGTCCACCCCGACGAACATGAATGTCAGTGTCAACTTTGCCAAAAAAATGTCAGATTCTTCCTTTTATCTCTTTTGACCTTTCACAAATGTAAAAACAAACAGTTGTGGTCAGCCCTCTACCCACTAGTAGACAGACCGTGCCTGCAGGATTGCGAATCTGAAGAGAAGAAAAGCAATGAAAAGCCCTACAGTGATAACCAAATGTTTTGTCGGGAGGACGGATTAGATTGCGAACCTGACGATAGACATTTCCCCCAAAAAACAGAAGATGGCCACAAAGTAAGCGAGTATACCATGAAGAGAAAAGGGTTGGGTGAAGCAGTGGTTCTTTCATTTGATGACTTTCTACGGAAACTGTTCGGTGTAAAATGTGAAACAGCAGCAGTTTTATCTCAAAACTTGTTGGATAGACCGGTATTTATTGAAAATACGAGCCCGCAAAACGATATGAGACAAAACAAAGAGTGGGGAATCGATGTGATCTTGCAATCTATGCAGAATGAGAGGATCACACTGTCTGTAGACAAACCCACAATGTCACGTAGATCGAGCAGGTCATCAACGTCGTGCCATTCAAACACGTCCAGTGAGAGATCATACTCCAGTAGGCCCACCCATCGGGAATGCAGAAAAAGAAAGGAATCCCCAAGAAGCAGGACAAGACGTTCAAAGCGCAAGGTTTCCAGGCGAAGACATACTCACGACCTGAAGTGTGTAGTTTTCTCCCCCGAATCTAAAATAACCAAAAAGGAAGACGACGATGCATCAAGACATCATTCAAGACTGGAACAAACGGAAAACAAGATAAAACATACAACCTATGATAACAAACAGAGTCTACCAGCTCAAGAATTGATTGATTTTTTAAACACGTGTGTCCCTGATGAGATTAAAGGTTCTTATGAAATTGAATTCCAGAGGAAAAATATGTCACTGATCCAGATCACAGACTCTGGAATTGAGAACAGCGATGGGGTGAACAGCAACTTGTCAGAAAACCCAAGATCTCTTACTGGTGTAGACGTAACGGCCATGGACGGAGAAACGAATTTGAGAGTGTCGAGTTGTCCATCTATTGCTAAGTGCGGGCAGAAGAGCAACGTGGAATCAGAAAGGATCTTATCAGAAGAGAACGTTTGTAGGGAGGAGAATTCCTTCTCTCTGGCTTGTAGCCAAACCTCTTCTCCAATCTGTGATAATAATCTGTCAGACGATGATGAATCCCAGGCATCTTCTTCGCAGACAGGGCTGGATGAACTTTGTCTTTCGGATGACAATGAGGAAGATCATGATCGAGCAAAAAGTGAAAACTCTCCCAATGATTGTGACGACTTAAACCCAACAGCAACTCTAAGTGACCGATCTATAAGCCGCTCTCATGCTTCTCTAGAAACAGATTCAGAAGATGGAAGAGAATGTGCAGCATCATGTACTTTCCCACCTGCAAATGTCTTTGCCGTCGACGAAATCTCAGCGTGTGTGGCTTGTGATGATGGAGAAAAAACGACTGATAATGCGTCGAGTGTGCCATCTGAAATTACAATGGACCTGGATTTAGATAAAAGCGAAGAGGGCATGGTGCATTCTGAGTCCGATAATGATAATGGCGAATGCAAAGTGCCAAACGTCCCCTCAGTTCTCAATGATTCAGGCCTTCCTCATAGTGGCGGGATGAGTTTAGCAAATTGCAGCCCTCTGCAAACAGAAGAAAAGTATGTCACGGATGTCACTGAAAGAAATGTTTGCGATAATGAAGAGCAGGAAGCCGATAGAGATGCAGCCATAGAGTTTAGTCCGAATTCGAATAGCACTCTAAACGCCATTCACGACACCTCAGATACTAGCGAATGTAGCCTTTATCCAGACAATGCATGCTCCATCCCGCAAGTTAGTAACACAAAATCCCCGGATGTCCTCAGTACGACAGCAGATGTAATGTACACGCATGGGCACATTAGTGAACATGACACTCTGGCCTCTGTTGAACCAATGGAATCTGAGTTGATGGATGATGGTACCATCACTTCTATTTACCATCACAGCCATGATAGTGAAAACCATAGCAAAATGATCCCTAGAAACACCTCCAACCTTTGTAATTACCCAAATCACGACTCTGGAAGGACAGGATCTGCAGGGCTGAGTAATCGTCCATTCATCATTGAAACCTCTGACCTTACGACAGATTCTGATTCAGCTTATTCATCTGACTATGTCCCCAGCCCAGACTGTGCCAGAATTCCAGAACCGATGGCCACCTATGCTGTTATAAACACTATTGGTGCAACAACTAGTGGCACTGAATCAATTCACACCGATGAGGATAATATCTTAGATGATCTTCGGGAGCCTATGAGCGACAATACGCCAATACTGCATACTGACGCAAATACCGAGCCCGAAGCGGCCCAGACTGCAACTGACAACGTGTCCAACGAGGACGCACAGAATGATCCAGACTCCCTTGCACATGGCTCTAACGCTCTAGCTAGAAGCAATAATGTTCTAAATGAACTTAACCTGAGGCTGGACCCCGGCGTCGTTATTGATGATAACGTAGCCGACCTCTTCGATAGCCAAGACCAGGCAGACAATGCCACGGAAACGAACCCCCAACCAGCCAGCCAGTTAGAACCGACCCCGGAAGAGCTGGGGATCGTCACATCAAAACCAAAGAGACAGGAGTACAGTTACAGATTACATCGACTGAGCACGTTTACCAACTGGCCCGACACGCATCCGCTGAAGAAGGAACTCATGGTGACAGCTGGTTTTTTCTTTACAGGTACGTCAAAAAAGAACTAGCATTTATAAAGGTACATGTTCATGCAGGCACACACACACATATACACACATGCACACACATACAACCACAAACAACACACACACAAACGCTCACACACACACAAGCACGCACACACAGACATACAAGCATGCACGCACACACGCACACTCACACTCATACCCATATACTCACACACATATAGCATATATTATATATATATTGTATACATGTACATAGATCTATATATTTATATA